GTGCCTCTCTCCTCTTTGCTCTGGGCTCCGATGATGCGGCGCTGCGGCTGCAAGCAGTTCGTGCTGCTGCCGCTGCATTGCAGCAGCAACAGCAGCAACAGCAGCAGCAGCAGCAGCAGCAGATGGAGGACGACTGCTGCAGTGAGGCGCTGCAGACAGAAGCAGACAGAGCAGCAGAAGGCCGCCTGCGGCTGTTGGGGTTTTTACTGCTGCAGCGTATAGCCGATGAACATCTCGATGTCGCAGTTGAGGTGCGCTGCTGCTGCTGTTGCTGCTGTTGCTGCTGCTGCTGCTGTTGCTGTTGCTGCTGTTGCGGTCGCTGCTGCTGCTGTTGCTGTTGCTGCTGCCTGTGGGCGCTGCCCTTTTAGCTCTGCTTTTGGCGGGTGGCTGCTGCCGCTTGTAGCTGTTAACTTTGCTGCTGCTGCTGTTGCTGCTGCTGCTGCTGCTGCTGCTGCTGCTTGCCTGCAGGCACTGAAGTCTCTACCGCTGCTGCCAGTGGCGGTTCCGTTCGAGGAGCGAATTGCTGCTGTTGCAGCGAAGCTGCTGCAGCTGCAGCAGCAGCTGCAGCAGCATCCTTTTGTATCGGCAGCAGCAGCAGCACAGCCCCGGTCCCTTGCGCAGCAGATGGCGCTGCTGCTGCTGAAGAGGCCGCAGCAGCAGCAGCTGTGTGTGCTGCTGCTGCGGCAGTGTGCTGCCTTGCTGCAGGAGGGACGCGAGGCAGCAGCAGCAGCAGCAGATGCTGCTGCTGCTGAAGATGGTGATTCGGATGAAGACGTAGAAGAGCAGCAGCAGCAGCAGCAGCAGCAGCGGCGGCTGCTGCAGCAGCACGCCAGTCAAGTGGTTCCTCTGGCCGTCTGTTTGTATGCTGCAGCTGACGCGCAGCAACACTCTGCAGCAGCAGCTGCTGCTGCCCCAGAAGAAGCAGCAGCAGCAACGGCAGCAGCAGCAACGGCAAGCAAAAGAGTAAATGCTGCAGGCGCTGCTGCTGAGGTGCTGCTGCGGGAAGCAGCAGCGGTGCTGCTGCCCGAGGAGAAGGGAACAAGAGCAGCAGAAGAAGCAGCAGCAGCAGCAGCAGACGAGAGCGGCCCCAAGTACGTGCTGCTTCTGTTGCTGCTGCTGTGTGCGCTGCTGCTGTTTCCGTTTTGGTGATGCTGCTGTCGCTGCTTTGTTGCTTCTCCTGCTGCTGTTGCCGCTGCTGCTGAGAGTTGCTGCTGCTGCATGCGTTGTGCTGCTGCTGCTGCAGTCGCCTGTTTATTCGCCTTGGGTGGGCAGCGCTGTGGGGCCCTGCTGCTGCAGAGCAGCAGCTTCCTCAGGGAGCAGCAGCAGCAGCAGCAGCAGTAGCAGCAGCAGCGGAGGCTGCATGCAGTAGACACTGGCTTGTCTCTGCTGCGCTGCTGGAGTTCTTATCGAGCAGCGCGCGGCCTCATGCTGCTGCTGCTGCTGCTGGGGCAGCCGTAGTAGCTGCTGCAGCAGGCAAGGCAGCAGCAGCAGTTGCTGCAGATGCAACAGCAGCAGCTGCTGCTGTCAACAGCTCGCTGCTGCCCCCTTCAATGCCTCCGCAGCTGCTGGTGATGCATGCAGGCAGAACATACGAGGCCATCCTCCTTGCAGAGCAGCAGCAGCAGCAACCGCAGCAGCAGCAGCAGCAGCAGCAGCAGCCGGTCAGTGCATTGGCCCTTGCTGCTGTGTCTTCATTCTGCAGCTTTCTCGCCTCAGCGCTGCTGCCGAGCGATGCGTCGCAGCTAACAGCGCAGCTGCAGCAGCAGCAACAGCAGAAGCAACAGCAACAGCAGCAGCAGCAGCAGCAACAGCAGCAGCAGCAGCAGTTGGCTGCATTACGCGGGTTGCTGCTGCTGGGTCTAGCAGACGCAGAAGTGTTTTCGCAGCCGCTCTCTTTGATGGTCTCTCGTCTGGGGCAGCAGCCGCTGCTGCTGCTGTCTCTGCTGTCTGCTGCTGCAACAGAAGCACACGCATGCCTCAGCAGCAGCAACCAACAGCAGCAACAGCAGCAGCAGCAGCAGGTGGAGGAAGTAACTGGCGAAGAACAGCCGACGGCAGAAGCAGAGTCAGAAACTCAGCAGGGACAGCAGCAGCAGCAGCAGCAACAGCAGCAGCAGCAGCAGCAGCAG